ACCTTACTTTCTGGTTGGCACAGACGATAGTTTCCACACCGAATAATCATGATCTTATCGGTTAATCATCATTGCCATCCCCCTTACTTTTATACTAATCCACGCGATGATGAATGATCTAAAGGAAATTCTCCCACTACATTACAATCACAACAATCAAAAACCTGCACAGCCCGAGACTCAATTACCAGTGATTTGGCATAGCCCCAGAACCTAACCAGTTAAGTAATAAAATAGATACTAGTACGTGGGTGTTGTTATCCATTAATACCCACTTTCACGTAGATAAATAAGCTTCGAAGTTAGGCGAGCGGGCGAATGAAAGCGGCCATCTGTCGCTATGGGCTCCACTTCCTGTACGGGTACGATACTGCAATTACTGGGGAGGATCGTCGGTGAAGGTGGATTTGAAATTATCGGCAGGTGGCTATGTCCCGCTACTAAGATCGGTATGATGAGGTTGTAGTACTAGAAAATTCTTACATTAATATCTATGGTATTATTTTCTTCTCTCTTCTTAGGGCTTTAGCTGACCCTCTTCGGAAAAGAAAGAGGAAAGTAGATTGTGGAGGGGAAAACCAGGGGGGAAAAAAATAAAAAATAAAACGGATAAAAGAAAGAAGAAAAAGAAAGGAAAAAAAAAGAAGAAAGAGAGAGAAATAAATATATAGAAAGAAGAATGAGAGGGAGAGATTGATTGCCTGCTAACATCAATATAAATAATAGATGAAGACGCAGTATGCTCGAAAAGATCAGCCAAGTTTATCTCCAGTAATGACAGAACGATATTTGCGTATGTAGACTAGAGCCTGTTTATCTCTATATCCATTCTATGCAGAATTCTGTCTCTCACAGTACTCGTAAATAGTATTTATTATACAATCGACATGAGGAGATAACAGAGAAGCTATAGTTGATTATGGTACTTTTAATTTGCCTTTTTCTCCCACCAAAGCTAACGAAAGTTCGGCTACTTGGTAAATAAGTTTAGAAATATCGCATGAAGCACATGCAGAGCCGACACTGGGTCTAGCGCATTCTAGCGCATGAGGCTTTGTTTCGAACGAAGCATGGGAAGGAAGCACAAGTGCCTATTACCCATGTTTGACAGGATGCAGGCCCTATTGTATGACAAGGCTGCATCATGCCAAACTGGCTGAGCTCCACATGGAGATCAAGTGTGAACAGTTCCATACTTCCCCGATGAGGTGTGGCAGACTAATCAAGACACCACCCACACAAACACTAATCATGGGACGGAATCTACTGCACTCAGATATAGAGATTGGATTTAGTGATTACTTCATTCTCTATGGGTCTCAAATGGGACTCGGTTGACTGCTGCCATTATATCATGGCAAATGTCGTGTTGGTGATAGCCAATTACGAAGGTAAAGACATTTTAAGTTGTACAAGGCCAGAGACGTACCCGACAATATCCCTACTGCCCCATTTTCCGAACGCAAAACATGGTGGGATTTCCATTTATGAAGGATTGATCGAGAGAAGACTACAATTCTCTCCAACAGCATGGCTCAATTTTAATCTGTGGCTGAGCAAGCTAAGCAATTAAACAACACCGGTTCGTCACCTTGGATGTCTTGTGCATCGGACAAAAGGGCCTTGGTATCAATATCTCCTAATCTGCAATATATGCAATATCCGAAAATGGGGACCTAAAGGCTCGAACTGAATGGGTTGAATCTCCTTCATGAGTATGTCACACAAAATTCTTCCATTGGAGTCTACCTGTTTTTTCAACAATTCCCACTCACTCCGCTCAACCCCAAAACCAATTTTAAATTGCTAATATAAAGGGGAGAAGGAGTAAACAGGTAATTCTGACGAGACTGGAAAACACGTGTATAGGTCCCATCTGAATTGCCATATTGAGTAGGCTGTGTTCTTCGACTCTTCGCGATAGACTAAACCAAAACGGGCAATTGAGATGTTCGGGAAGAGAAAATGCGGGGAGGCTATCCCTGTTGCAGGGATGATCATCTCAGCACTAGGCCGCTAGAGGTTTAGTCGCCTAAGGTGGATGCCTCAGCCCCAGTCTCTGTGGAACGCGTCGAGATTCATGACAACACCTCAAGCCTGATCAGGAAATAAATTTGCGACTGCGGGAACTTCAACAAGGCTGACTATTTGGGGGCCGAACTAAGCCTCAACATGAAAAATTAACTCCGATTGTTTTAATTTGACATAGGGAGATTGCGGTCTGCGGGAGATGAACTTATAAAGAACTTTGGGGTACCTGCTCTCAACATGTCTTGGACCTGCAAGCTTCTTTCAATCACCTTCTATATTCCTTGAAATCCTCTCATCAGACATCATGACGAGGCAGTCTTCTCTCGTTCCCACGCTACTTTCGCTCGCCTCGCTAGCAGCTCTCTCACAAGCAGAGTTGGGCAAAATCCAATGGAGAGGATCTTGCAACTTAACCAGTTATCCGACATTGGTCTGCGGAACACTAGACGTGCCATTGGACTACACCGAGTCGAATTCCAGCAAGACATTGACTCTCGACATTGCCAAGTGGCCAGCGACCAAGAAACCAGTTTCCGAGCCGATTATATTCAACTTTGGAGGGCCTGGTGTGAATTCGTTTGAGGGCCTCGGACTTTATGGAGAGGAATTTCAGGCGTAAGTTGCTGTCTAACTTTATCGCATCTTATGCTGACTGACATTCGTTCTCTAGTATCCTCGGCGGCCACAATGATTTGATCGCCTTTAACAATCGGTTCGTGACAGTCTTTCTTCAATTCGCGAACAAATAATAACTTATTACCTTATCTAGTGGCGTTGGAGACACCATCCCATTTTCGTGCTATAGCGATGACGCCGCCCGTGAACTCATCGCGCTCCAAGCCCCTAACGACGGCAGAGCATCCAGTACAGCTTTGGGAGAAATCTGGGCGCAGAACGCAAACATCGCACAGGCATGCTATGCTACGAACAATCAGACCGGTAGCCTTATCGGAACTAGCTTTGCTGCGAGGGACATCGTGCAGGTCGCTGATGCGCTCAGCGGAAAGGATAGTTTGGTGAACTTCTGGGGTGAGTATCGCGGCTGGGCTGAGACTACGCTTTTGCTGACACTATAGTCAGGATTCTCATACGGCACTACAATCGGCTCTGTTCTGGCAGCTATGTTCCCGGAACGCATGGGATATGTCGCGCTTGATGGAGTGGATAACCCCAGAGAGGCTCTCTATGGATAGTGAGTGGCCCTTCTCAACTTTCCTAATCTGGTCTATTTTAGACAGCTAATCCCTTCCGAATAGCAACGCACAAGCTGTTGTGGACGTCGACAAAGTTTTCGAAGGCTTCTGTGCGGGCTGCATGGCCGCACCGGACCTGTGCCCGATCGCCAAGGAGTATACCAGCGCCGCGAACTTGGAAGCTGCCATCTACCTGATGCTCGAAAACCTCAAGTACAACCCGATTGCCATTCCCGAAATTGGTGGCATTGTGACTTGGAGCGACGTCAAATCTACCATCTTTGAAGCCATGTACCTCCCCAGCTCCTGGCCCTTGACCTCTGAGCTTCTTTACTACGTGCAAACCCGGAACACAACAATCCTTGGAAACTCTGAGGTATACGAGACCATCAAATCTTACGGCCAATCGGCTTCCTTGACTTCGGCTTCCGATGAGGTCGGCACGGCCATTACATGCTCCGACAAGCATCGTTCAGCCACCATAAAAGAGGTCCTCCCCTACATTAAGGCTAGACAGGCCCTGAGCAAGATCTCAAGTGACGGCTCGGACGGAGATATGAGATGCGCGCAGTGGAACCCGAAGATGTTCGCCAAGGAACGCTACTCCGGTGACTTCGAAGTCAAGACAGCTAACCCGGTGTTGATTCTGAGCAACACCTATGATCCCGCAACTCCACTTCCCGCAGCGAAGAACTTGACAGAAACTTTCGAGGGAAGTGTTTTGCTCGAGCAGAACGGATACGGTGTATGTTCTACTTCTCCATTTCATACTGTCTAATGTGAGCAAGAGCTAACCTACTGGTGACAGCATACTACCCTGTCCATGCCCTCTCTTTGCACTGCCAAGACCGTCCGGGCTTACTTCACCAATGGCACGTTGCCCGCTGATGGAACCATCTGCCAGGTGGACGTACCTCTCTTCACGAACTTGACCTACAAGGATGTGTGGCCGAAGAGCTTCCAGCGGAGTGTTGAGTCGAGGGATGATGTGAGTGTCCTCAAGGCTTTGATGTCCATTCGTGATAAGATGTCACGCCGCAGGATCTGGTAAAGGTATGCTATAGATGGGAAGCCCAAAGCGATGACTATGGATAATGTTCTTCATATATTTTATTTTTCCGGCATACGCACGTCATGTAATAGAGTCTAGTTAATTTTGCAAGGAATTGTATAGTAATTGAACTTGTACCAAAACAGCGCTTCATAAAGACCGGAACGTTCCAAAACAGGTTTCTAGCTAACTTTGACAATTACTCAGTAGCCTGATGTTAACAATAGTACTATAGAGGCAAGTACCGTTTGTTGTTTTGGTAGTGGAGTAAATCAGTGATGCCCCACAATAATCCGCTGGTTTGATTGGATTATTGTCCACGGTTGTCATGATCTGAGCAGCGGGCCTCAAAACATCGCCAGTTCCTCGCTTCCTGTCCCGAGGCACTAGCCTAGGAGGCATGGTATTTAGCTGCAGGGCGGTCAGTCCAATTGATCTTTTGAAGTCATTCTAAAGCTTCTAGAAATTCAAGTGAATACATGAAATGGGAAGTCCCTGATTTAAAAATGCCTGCTTGAGTCTCGGCCAACAGAGTTTTCAATCAACGACTACTACCGTGCTGCATGTTACTAAACGCCCTCATTTAATCAATACACACTACTCTGGACTACCTACCTTGAGATTGTTTTTAAGCTTATATCTTACCCTCCCTAACTTTCTCTCGTTCTATTGCCCATTTGCCTTACCGAGTGATAACCTGATCCCTTCAGCACCCGGCACACACCATGGATCAACCAACTCATACTATCGACCCCGAAGGAGATGTCATCATAGTCCTAAGCAATGCCAACTCTCCCTTCGCACCAGATGATCATGAAGACACAACTGCGAAAAAGAACTCTGACAGCGACTCAAAAACCTCTGATGAGGAGGACCAACACCGCGAAAAGCGACCCCGACTTGTCGAAGAACAGCCTTCCGAGACGCCAACCGAAGATGGACACCTCAGCGAGACACCAGATGAGAAATGTTTCCGCATTCAAGTTTCCGCGAAGCACTTGATACTTGCGTCCCCAGTTTTCAGAAACATGCTCACTGGTAATTGGAAGGAAAGTGTCAGTTATCTTCAAAAAGGCTCCGTTGAGATTACTGCCGAGAGCTGGGATATTGAAGCCTTCTTAATATTCCTTCGCGCGATTCACAGCCAACAGAGCCAAATACCTCGAAAACTCTCTCTTGAGATGCTCGCCAAAATTGCTGTTTTGATCAACTACTATGACTGCAAGGATGCCGTGTCTATTTTGACGGAACTGTGGATCAATGGTCTGGAAGACAAGATCCCCGCAACATATTCCCGCGATCTAATGCTATGGTTGTGGGTCTCTGCGTTCTTCAAGCTCTCTTCACAATTTCAAACATCGACATCAAACGTTATCACACACTGTGATCATTTGATTACTAACCGTGGGCTTCCAATCCCTGAGAACATCATCAGTAAGGACACACAAACGCTAAATGGCCTTTATCTCTAATATTATTACAGACGTAATGAATGAACGTAGGAGTGGAGCCATTAATGAGATATTACTCCGTCTGAATAAGATGCGTGAAGATCTTCTCAGCGGAAGTCGGGGTTGCGACTTTGAGTGCAGATCGATGACGCTCGGAGCTCTAATGAAGCATATGCATTCTAATGATCTACTTCCACTAGAACCCGAGACTCCTTTCCCAGGACTAAGTTACGCTGGGATCTTTGGGAAGATACAGTCTTTCAAATCACCAGACTGGTATTCTGCCACCCGCTCGCTTTATTATCATAACGAATTCATGGCCGACTCCTCCCCTCATAGATGTCAGTCTTCTTCCTTCGAGACTGTTATCCAAGGTATGACAAATGCTATCAATGGCCTTAGTTCATCCATTATGGGCCTATGATTGATCCAGAATATGTGAGGCTTTTGTATCTCCTTAGCATTTCAGTATCACATTGTTTTTTCTGTGGATGAATGATATCGCAGTTGAATGTCACTGGCTGGGATTCCAGCATCTTCTTGGGGTAGAGAAAGCAGAGTCAAGATAAAATTACTGTGTTTGGTCATTGAGCTGCCCAAATTGATGTAAAATTTGCCTTTCTGGGAAGCAATGTTCAGCTTTTGTCGATCTTCGACAAAAGCGGCAGGAAGTTTCTATATCTGAGAAATCTGCCTCGAATATACAGCTATCTCACTATTCATTGTGCGACCCAGCAGCCCCTGGATTGATCTGCATATTTAGTTATTTTTACTGTGTATGATATGCTGATACCAAGAGCGGGAATGAAAAGAAAAACAATGATAATAAAGAAACAAAACAAAACAACAACAAGGTGCCAGGTTCTGCTAGGCACAATGAAGAGCAGAGCAACAGTATGTTCTAGGCTTTCATCTATCTAGGAATTTGGGGGGGTGGGGGATAAGATTGGCTTAGGTTAGATTCTCCGCGAACACAAAATAAAAGAGTTGGCTGGGAAGAGTAACTGATTTGATCAATATTAACTGCTCTGTATAGCAAACGTCAGAGCTCAGGCATCATATCCCAAGGTTCTTGCGCTCTTCTAGTCCAAGAAGTACGGGTGTTTTGCATGAAGACAAGCCAACCTGCTCAGATGCATTGACTCAGAGATCGAACAACTTTCCTATGAGCAGATTCTCGATGCCAGGCGCAGATCTGGGATATCCGATAAAGCCGAATATGCGAGACCCCGGACGGCACAATAGCCACCCGATCTACTCCGCACGGACGTGGCTACGCGTGTCTCTAGCCACTAACACCATAGTCAAGACGTTTAGGAGACCATCATTCATAGCCAGGATTGCGCAAGACATTTGACAGATGCGGGGTTCCTATTCCGCCATCGATGCTGATACGAGAGTGGTTGTTGTTGGAGAATTGTTGCACAAGTCGGGACGGCAATTGCGTGATGGCCGGGAGTTATGCTTATCAACCCCATCCCAGTTTCCATATATCTCAGCCAATGTCCCAACTGCAAACTAGATTGGAATCACAAAGTATTCATTCTCATTCAACTGTTATCGGGCATATTACACTGTAAATATCATGGCTCCTGGACTATCTGCAGATCTCCCCATCCACTCGCACCCCGCATCCAGTGGGGATGGCCCAACTGACCAACCACGGTATCCCGCTCCACTGAAGCCCAGTGGTGCTTTGGATGAGTTCGCATTTGAAGAGACAACCCCAATCATTGGCCGCGAATACCCCACCGTCAATATCGTCGATGATCTCCTGAACGCTCCCAACTCCGATGAGCTGGTGCGCGACCTTGCTATCACGAGTACCTCTCCCAATCTACCCCAACTGTATCTATCCCATCCCTAACCATGACCGACAGTCTCCCAGCGCGGCGTCGTCTTCTTCCGCGCCCAAACCAATCTCACCGATGACCTCCAGAAAGTCCTCATCCACCGACTAGGCCAACTAACCGGCAAACCCTCCACCTCCACCCTGCACATCCATCCCCTGCTGAACAACACCAACGAGTTCGGCACCGCAGACGCCGAAATCAGCACAATCAGCTCTCTCGCCCGCAAGAAGATGTTCGCCCACGATCGCCAACCCGACCGTCGTCGCTACGACTCGGCTCAATGGCACTCCGATATCCAGTTCGAGCCGGCACCAGCTGACTACACGTCTCTCCGACTAACCCAGCTTCCCAAAACAGGTGGAGACACCCTCTGGGCATCTGGGTACGAGCTCTACGACCGGTTTTCGAAAACATACCAGAAATTCTTCGAAGGCTTGACAGCGACGTTCGTGGGCGACGGCTTCATCAAGGCAGCGGAGAGAAACCCCAAGGAGTACAAGATATACACTCAGCCTCGGGGAAGTCCGCTCAATGTTGGGGAGGAGCTGGTGGCTGTTCATCCGATCGTGCGGACGAATCCGGTGACGGGGTGGAAGAGTATCTTTGCTTTGGGGCCGTTCCCGAAGTATATCAACGAGCTGAACCAGAATGAGTCGGAGGAGTTGTTGAAGAAGTTCAAGTCGATTATTATTGAAAGCCATGATCTGCAGGTCAGGTTCAAGTGGAAGAATGAGCATGATATTGGTATGTTCTATGCATTTGTTGTGTTGTTATTCTGGGACTAACACTCGATAGCTATCTGGGATAACCGGAGTGCTTTCCACACAGCTACTTTTGATTACGAAGGCCTTGGTGAGAGATTCGGGCACCGTGCGGTCGGTATTGGAGAGAGGCCTTACCTTGACCCGAACAGCAAGTCCAGGTCCGAAGCGCTGGCAGCTGAGGGCCTTCTTTGAGGTTATTATCATGGTTATTTGTGTGCGTATGGAATTGAACACAGCTTGATGTCGACGGCGGCAGTGCCTCTATCCGGTGGCTAGGATGATATGCTAGTACCTATTATTACGCATATGATATATACACTGCTGTTTCCTTAGATACATAAGACACCTTACGTCAGTGATTTTGTCCTTAGATCTCTTGTTTAAAATTCAATTTTTCTTGATCACATCGTTCTCGGGAAAGTGTGTTTTTAGAAATAGTACCCCTAACAACACACCTCTGAATATATTTATTGGAGGGTACATTCTAAGTTCAGAGTTTATCCAACTTGATTTTCGTTTTTCTCGTTCTTTTCTTTTCTCCTTCCTTTAAATTTACTAATTCCCTTTTAAGTTTTTGAACATTATTTTTCTTTTCCTATTTTGCATTATATCTTCGATAAAAACATGATCTTCTTGGGGCTCGGACGGCGGATCAAAAAAAAAAAAAAAGGAAAAAAAGATAATGAGCCCAGCCCGGCTCGATCGGACAACCTTACGATCTGGAGTCGCTGTTGGAAATCTGTTAGAGGATGTTTTTGCAATCCGATTGGATGCAGGTGAACTTACTACGCGCTACCAATTGCGCCATAGGCCCATTTGTTGGTGAGTGGATATCATTAAAGTGCCTAATGTAAATCAAAGGCGCAAAACAAATGGACCGATGCTGCGACGCGTAGGTGTTCCTCAACCATCAACAAAGAAGGAAAATGACAAAATCCAAATTTGGGCAAAAAAAATCAGATAAATTTGATCCAACAAGTTTCTAACCACTGGATACTTTTCTTGGAAGATATTTTGATCAATTCGGTCCACCACTGCGCCCAACCTCTCTCAACCCAACCTGATACTCAACCTTCTGCTCCACTTCACTCTCCGTCGACGACTCATACTTTTTATTGATATCCTCCAACTCCAACTTTCTCGTTTCCGGAATAAAGAAGTACCCAAAGATGACCGAAACAGCAGACAGCGACCCATAAATGAATCCGAGCTTACCACCAATATCCACATGGCCTGGGTCGTCTGCGGTTTCAAGATAGGGGTAAGAGAACGTCACGGCGAACCTGACAATCATAGTCTGTCAGTTTCCATGATCTGGAATAAATGTGTGCAATGGTATGTGTGGAGGGGAACGTACTCAGTAATCAGCTTCACAGTATACGCGATCCGCAGAGTCATTTCTCTCAACCCGGCCGAAGGCAACTCCGCACCGAGCACATACACCAATGGCGCCCAGGCAAGAGACCAACCAAAGCTGTAAAGAAGCAGCATGGCGACGATGCCTTCTTTGGCAGCGGTATTACTGGGGTCTGCGGTGCCGAGACCGCCCATTGTCATTAAGGACGCTGTTTCGAGGAGGCCGCTTACGTGGAAGAGCATTCTACAGTTGAGAACGAGCGTCAGTGAACACAATCAGAAAGGGAGAAGATGACATTCACGTACCTTCGTCCAACCACATCACTCAATGCCGTCGAAATAATCAACGCCCCAATATCCGTCGCGTTAGTACCAAGCGTGACACTAAACGCATTGACCGATTTCAACTGCTTCACGAAAAGTGTTCCATACTGACTCGCAAACGCCTGCCCCGAAGCCTGCTGAAAGAAGTTCGCAGCGGCAACAACGAACGTACGTTCACGATTCCCCTTAATGAAGAGATCCTTGAAGCTTTTCTTCTGCAGCTGGGCCGTGACTTTCTGTGCCATTTCGTCAAAGTCCTCTTGTATCTCATGTTCGGGTGTGTTTTTCGATCGGTATCGTTTCAACGCTTGAAGTGCTTCTTCCTGTCGGTCGCGGAGGAGCAGCCATCGTGGGGACTCAGGTATTATCCAGACGAGCCATATGCAAATGAATGGGATGACGAGAATCAAGCCGAAGGGGATTTGCCATGCGGTGTTTGTTGGAATGCCTGATGTGCCTCTTGCGATGCCGGTTACTACTAGGCCTCCGATCTTGATGCTGAGCCAGTATAGGACGCCCATGGCGCCACGGACTTTTCGGGGAGCGAGTTCGGCGAGGGTGGTTGGGATTACGGCTAGTTGCATTCCTAAGTAGATGTCTGTGGAGGTTAGATGATGGTTTGTATTCTGGGAGATGTAAGGAAATACTGACAGTGTAGTGCGCGACCGGTTAATATTTGTGCGTCTGTTTTGGAGCTCACCACCACTGCTGCACTGCCTAGTGCATAGAGGTTCATGCTGAATATGCACCATTTCCGACCATAAGTATTGCTGATATAGCCTCCTAGGAAGACACCTATTGCAAAAATATCAGCCAAATACTCCATAGCCCTGGAAAGTACGATCCTCACCGACAATCTGCGTTCCCGCCTTCAAACTATTATAAAGCGAAGTAAACAACGGCTTCACCTTGTATTTCCCGGTACTGTGATGATAAACGCCAAACTGACGAGCGAACGAATCCATAGCCTGACACGAAGAGAACGCCTGATCGCTGAACCCATAATTAAACGCCGAAACTGCCAGCAGCACGGTCGTGAAAATGAGCATCCGGCTCCATTGTTTCTGAGATTCCATTTGGAGGCAATCTATCGTTGAGATAAATTCCCTTCCAGAAACAACTATCAATCAATTAATCAGATAATCAAAGGCCGAGATAATCAGATATGGTGTAATCAGATCATCAGATAATGGTGGCGAACGGATGGCTTGGCTTTATACGTCGCAAGGTTTGCAACGTGGGCGGATGGCGGAGGGCTTTTCTCCCCCGACCCTCCCCGACCGGTGAGATAGTGAACGAACTAGTCCAGTAGTTCTTACAGCCTGCATCGGCTATCATCGCTCGATTTAGTATCGGTGGCATGGTTTCGTGTTTGGGGGTTTATCCATCATCTCGGGCTTACGAGGCTGTGAGGGATCGGCCATTTACAGATCCCACGCTGATCATGATGGTGAGTGTCCAATCATCATGACCATTATGTCTCATTGCTTCCAGGTGATACAAAAGCATGGCGACCGCTATGCATAGTACGCTGTGATCTTCTTAATGCCTTCCTCATGCTGCTTTACCCCTTAACCGCGCTTTCCTACGGCGTACCCCGATCAATCTCTTATCTTTCTCCGAGTCTTCCGGTACTGGTACCGTACTGCGTCCTGCAGGCTTACCTTCTCAGGCGACATTGTCTCAGGCTCCCACTGCACATACAATATCCAGGCTTCGCCTGTATCAATTGAACGAGAGTTCTATTCCATGAACAGCCTATATGTTCATAACAAAGACATCGAACCACTTTCTCCATACTGCCAAGCTTGCCAAGCTCTTGTATAGGGCTGTAGGGCTGTAGGGCTGGAGCCAAGTCCAAGACCCTTTGTTCCCATCAGCGACGGGCGGTTATTAATACGGTTTCCCGAATTCAATCTCCCATCTGATTACCGGATGTTGGTTCCATTCCTGCCCGGAGAGGGAATTTCCGGAGTCAGCGCACTTTAATGAAAATTTGAAAAATGAGGGGTAATGCATAAACTCGGATTTACATGGTTCTTTTTTTAGCTGCGTCTTTTGTTGGTGGACAACACCACACGTATTGGCTTCCATATGATCTCGTGTGCTGGTAAACCATGTTTCACAAGTTTTACAACTTGCTAGTTGGAGTGATTTGGAGAGCAAGTCGGAGATTTACGAGCAAATAATTTCATTGTATAATCGAGGATGTTCACACCCGGGTCCACTGCGGTGGTAAGGTATTCGCTCTCCCGGGCTGGTCACGTTGGGGGCTTCGCTTATACCTGCCACCATACGATATGCTCAAGCTTTCAAGTAACACATGGCAGACGGCCCCCATTATGCGTGGGGTTTCTCCCCTGCACTTGCGAAGAAGGATCTGACTGACTCCACAACGCCGACCATCCCCCAGGTCAGCTTGGCACTGCTTATATGCAGTAGCCTGAGGCATCTTTAGGCGGCAGTCATGATTATTGATTGTGAGGGAGCTCTCATGAACCTATGCATTGCACTAGTATATAGTACCAATTTCCACACCAGACCAGGAAGCGAGGGCCATGCTTTTGATTGACACGTCTTAGTGTTACCCATTGTCCTGCACAAAAAGTCCGAACGGACCGTTGCGATAGCCCGGGCGGTGGTGTGTTACTCGAAAATGGGGATTCTTGTCTATGTACAGACTAGTTAGGGTAGACGTGAGCCTAACCCCAGTAAATCTGGGGTAAATACTACAGAGATTTCTGGACGGATCCTGTACTTGGTTTTCAGGATCTGGATTTGAATAGCAACATAGTAGTAGCACGTATCCCAATGTGTGCGGCATGGGGTATGTTGGTTTGTGGTTACTTGTGTCGCACCAATATGCTCAGTGTTCCATTTCACTAACTATCATGAACCACATCTCCGGGGAGCCCGACACAGACATGACAGGTTATATAGACCCCATGAGAGCCGTACCATCATAGCAGCTACTATATTGTACCCTCTCATTCAGCTAAGAAATATCTAAAAATGCGGTTTCCAATTCTCACCCTCGCTCTACTCTCTACTCTCCTAACCCTCCCCTCCACCACCCTCTCCCACCCATCTCCAAGCACAGAACACCTCCACCTCCACCCCCGCGGCCAAGGCACCATTACCTTTATCGGCTCCCTCCTCAACAACGGGTTAAAGGTCCTCCAGCTAGACAAATCCGTCCGCTACTTCACCCCCGAGCGTCTAGACGACGTCAAAACTCGTTCGTCGGAAGCACTGCAAAGCCTCGATGAAGCAATAGCGACTGGGAAATCTATCGGCCATTTTGACCCTACAAGTAGTCATGTTATTGCTGCGCTGTGTATACCGTTGAAGCCGTTCTACGGGAGTATGATTAATGCGATTCGTGATAAGGTATCATTACCATTCCTTCTTTATATTTTATCTTTTGGCTGGAATAGTAAAAATTCCAGCTAACAATGACCATCAACAGCGCGAGGAATTGACCGCGGCGAAATACAAAGACGAGATGATAAAGACGCTGGTTGCTCTTCGGGTGAAGAGTCGGGAGTTGGCGGAGCTGGTGAAGAAGATACTCACGGAGCCTGATGGGTCGTTTTGTTTGTTTCTCGAGGATTTTATTGATAAGCGGTTTTCGAAAACGATTGATGAATATAAGGGGATCAATAGCGGTGATTCGGATGATGTGGAGGGAGATATCTGGAATGTGGAAGAGTAGAGACTGGAATTGGTATGTGGGAATTGCCCGTGGAGAGGTAGGTCATCTGGAGGGCTAATTAGCAGCTGAATACGACATAGGATCCCACCAGCTTGATACATTAAAAGTTGTTAGCGAGAAGCAGGTACTTTTGGACTACATGGAAAAAATATGTTACAGTTTTAGGCTAACTGACTCATGTATGCGTGCATAATTGGTATAGCTTGGACTGTGCAGCCGATTTCGGTCCTGGTCATCGACTACTGAACTTGGCCCGAAAATCCTAACCTACTGTGTAGTTCATGATGCTTTTCACATGATCTCCAAGAAGTCAATCCAAACTTTATTAAGTCCCAAAAATAGTCCTATACTATTAACCATCTCGTTCTCGCCCAAATTATGATGCGCAGATCCCAGCCACAAAGTATGACGTAGTCACAGCAACACAGGCCAAACTCCGCTCACCGCCCAGTCACCGCCTTTTAATATACGGGAAAATTGCTGCCTACGTAGCGAAGAGTCTCGGCCGACGCATAGACCAACCACAACCACCACTGGCAGATAAAAAATTCACACAAAAAGTCAAACAGTCATAATAATTGTTGCCGTGGGATATCAACATATACACACAAAAAAAAAAAAAAAAGAAGGAAATATTAATCAATAGTCGCGAATCATGAATGGCCCCGTCGATACGCCGAGAGCGCCCGTAATGGAGTATAGCCCGGGTTGCGAATTTCACCGAGCCGACCAACAATACATCAGGAGACAGATGTCGGTGTCAATTGAGGTGGTTATTTGTTGGCCAGGATGTAGCTATGACACGCGTCAGCTTTTGTTGTTTCCGGTTGGATGTAAGGCGGGAAGGAAAGGGCAGCAACACATACTAGGCGTGGATGACACCTGGTACCCAACCCAGGATACACAGACAGATGTTGATGAGGAGATCACAGCTGCATCCGGTGCGCATGAAGACACCCACGAAGGGGAGGAAGAAGGCGATGATAATTTCGCAGCAGCCGCTGTTGTGAGAGATTAATTAGTATCATTCTCATAGAGAGTGTGTAACAAGGGGGTGCATACACTTTTCCGGGCATGATGGCGGTTTGTGTAGTGTGTTGATAGAGGTTTCTTGGGAAGATGGAAATTGAGCTTGTCTCGAGGATAGGAGAGTGAACAAAATTTCAGAGTCTGGACGATGAAGAACAAACAAATGGTGGACGATCAGGGGAATTAAAAAGATCATAAGGAACGAGGAGTTGTGACGTCACGCTTGATGCTGCGTAGGGCTGAAAGTGGAGCTGACTCGCACGCCGTAAGAATGAATGCCCATCAGGATATGCCGATGACCATGTTTTGATGTAGCCTGATATTCTTGCGCAACCTTTGTCGATCCTGCGTCATGGTACCTTTATCTATTTGCTGTCAGTCTGTGTGGTTGTTTCATGGTATGTTGTGGCCTGACTGGAAATCAACGACATGGCTACTGCGACGGGCGCGTACTTTGCCGCTTTGCTCTAGGGAGTACTCGGCTCAATATAGTTAATCAAATACGAGTACGAGTGCAATAGTGTATGACTACAGATTATATTATTGGTTCGCTTGATTGACCCGCTATAGTTTATGCTCTTGTACCGCTTACATAAGTAATCACATAAAGTGCATAGAATAATGTATAGCTTATACGCTGTATCTTCAGGTCATACTACCTTCCTGGCTTTGAGAGATGATTTTGGAAAATCTTTATAATACCAGCATATATCTCATTTGACTTGGCCGCAAGGCATCGAAAACATAGGGTGACAATCGAGTGCAATCCAAAGTTGAGTCTTACTACTCCTCCCTACATCAAATATATATATTGTTGGGCTAGTGTGTTGTTCCAGTTCCTAACTCCAGCTAGGTGGATATTAGCAACTCCAATAAAGCGTAACGTGCCAATGCCTTATACGTGACTGTGGCACACTACAGATTAAGAAGCGACAAGGCTAGGGGTTGAAGTAGATCATCAAGATTAAGCTCCTTTGTCGTTGCCAAGGCCAACCCTCCCGGTCGGGTTCAACCTTTATCGCACGGGTTCAACTTTCTACGCATCGCCAAGGAGCTCTCCAGGTTTGCGCCCTGCTCTCAAAGAGTATTTAGCCGCATCAATTATAGCTTGACAACATTTCATTCAATCCAATAGATTATACCGCTGTCTTCAGTATCTGCAGCATAGAAAACTATTTATTATATGAGCTGGCTCTTATTACCCTATCTCTTCTAGTAAAAGTTGAGACACAGGTCTAGAACATGTATTTAATAAATACAAGCACTTAATTCACACGACTTTCTTGGTCGCTTCTATATACCATAATAATAATTAAACATGAACAGAGAATAGACAGCCAAAGGAAATGCTAATTAATCAGATAAAGAATGGAAAAAGTCCAAGCGAACAGGGATGCCTCCCATGATCAACGGCCAACTCATCCCATAAATTTGCTGCAGCACATAGCCTCCAAGATCATCGCTATTCAGCACCCAAAACGGCCCGCTTTTGGTCCAGGCCCTTGACAGAATAGCCTCGTAAAAACAAAAGAGGAAAAAATGAACAAAAGAAAAGAAAAAAAGAAGGATGAGCAACGCCTTATACCCGGAAGTTCGACACTACTGCTCCACCTCGTAAACAAGCTTGAATCCGCTGACCTCCTTTCTGCGAATCATCTCCAATCCTTCTAGAATGCCGGGAAACCCGCCCGACATGACCTTAGCAGGGTGGTTCTTAAGATTGCCCTCGAGCAGGTGCTTCTGGGCGCCGGCGTAGAGCTCGTCAGCAAAGACACGCGCATCGGGGTCAGCGTCCCGCCCGTAGGGGGCCATCCAGGTACTGCCGCGACCCTTGACAGTGGAACCCAGGATCCAGTCGGGCTTGACAACCCTGCGAGTGGCCTGCGCGTCGGGGTAGGGGTCCAGCGCCGTGTAGCGACCGCCCGCGCGGCCAATGGCCTCGTAGCACAGCTTCATGGATGAAGTGACGGTGATGCAGTCAATGGCGTAGGCCAGAGCGTTCTTGGTGTAAGACTTGATGTCCTTGGCGCAGTCGGCAGACCGGTAGTCAAAAGTCTTCTCGGCGCCGTAGGAAAGGACCAGCTCCTCGTGCGACGGCGAGCAGGTCGCGATTGGCCGGAATCCCGCCAGCCTGAGCAGCTGCAGGGCCATGGTGCCTGTCGAGGTGCTACCACCGTTGACGAGCACGTAGGGCGGATTGGCGGCCGTGTTGGGCGCGGTCAACGTCCCGGGCAGTTTCATGGAGCGAAACAGGGCAATGCCTGCGGACGACAGAGACGTGCCTATGCAAGCGGCATCGGTGAAGGACATGTCATCCGGAAGACGCAGAGCCTGGGTAGCCACGGTCGAGGCGTACTGGCAGAAGCCGCCACCGCTGGGCCTCTTACGGTCCATGCTGTCTGCTGTGCCCAGTACCCGGTCTCCCACCTTGAGATCTTTCCTGGTAACACCGTTGCCAATGGCCACGACGACACCAGCAAAATCGAAGCCGAGAATGGCGTCTGGCACAGCGAAGCCCTTGGCCATCTTGGAATCGACGGGGTTGAGGGCCAGCGCGGCCGTCTTGACAAGCACGGAATCCGGCTCCAGGTCGATCACGGGCACATCGTGCGAGATGCGAAGGGTGCCCTCTTCATCAGCAGCGATGATGGCGGTCTGCGTCTTGGGGATGGGGGCGTGCATTGTGAAGGATGGTAAGGCAGGTGGCTTTCTTGGTGATGGTGGTGGTGACGTTGCTGCTGTTCGCTTTTGTTGTTGTTGTTGTTGTTGTTGATACACCCGGGAGAGAAATATAAGGATGATCGGAAATGACAAGAATATGGGAAGAAAGAGAGAAAAGAAGTATAGGAATGCTTTGTAGTCGTCGTAAACCCGCGACAGTATTAAATTCGTACCTAATGTCTTCATAACAACAATATCGACATTTTTTTTTTTTCAGGCGGTGGTTGTCGACACCAAGATCTATATACACGGGCGCGATCTCGCACAAGTCTGCCTCGAGGGTGGCTCAGATGGGAATGAGAGAGCAACGTCTTCTCTCTTCTGGGGTTTGGGTTGCGAGGTTACCATCACCGTCTCGTTCGACTGTCGCATTCGGGGCACTTTGCTCTGGGCAAACAAGTCCACATTCCCATTAAGGCATGGAAAGAGATGGCCGCTCGTATTGGCAAGGGAAAGGATGAAGCGGTTGTCTCAAAGAAGAAACCAGATGTTAGGGCGGGAAAATCACCCATATCGGGTATCCGGGGAGGCAAGCATTAAAGAGCGGCGAAGGGGTGTTGGGTGATGGATTGACCGCTAGCGTGAAGGCTTAATTTCCGCCGTCTACTTTTATAATCAGCGCTTGCGACCACCTCCATCCCGTAGGATTTGGCCCCAAAAAATCCCGTAGGATTTGGCCTCACCAGTCCCGTAAATTCGTTACGTCCGTATGTATGTGTATCCTCACAATCTCCAAAATTGCTGGTGTTCTTGTGGCGTTTCTGTCGACACTTGGCGTGGTGTGCCGAGCATCTGCCAGCCAGTGAACGATTTCGCGGCGTGGCATGAGGCACGGTTCGGATCTACCCTTGATGCTTAATCGTACATACAGCCAGCCAGAATTTCTCGCCAAGACTACATTACATCTCATCCTCCAGGACTATGCTGCTACAGGACGATGCGACGGCATAAGGCTCCCCAACTTGAAACTTGAGAATACATGCAGTTGTATCTGAAACCCCAACCACAGCCGTCGCTCGCCCATCTGCCGCTGTAGTAGTGTCTTCGTAAGACTGGCGGGTGTATGATTGTGAGGGATCATAATTGGCCCCCAATTACACCTTCTATCGTGCGACTAGAACTTCCGATATTAATTATTGTTCTATAGGGCCTTGTCCACCGCCGCCACCAAGCAAAACAAGCGAGAATCCTCCTGGTCGTTTATCTATGCAGGTCGTATTCTGCAGAAAACCCATTCGCTGGCTCTTCCTCGTGTTCACTATCTGACCCCACTTTCGCCGGTCCCATGGGGCCAAAAAGTCAGGGCCAAGGCGAGATGTCTCAACTAAGGCGAGAGGGCTGAGTCAAGACGACAAATTCGCGTGGGCCCGGTGCCCTGCGTCCTGCTAGGTAATGGTGTGACTGAAGAAGCTGACAAGCCTAACGCAGGATTGCCTCGTGGATTCTTCTGCCTCCATCGCCGAACCGCAGGGACTCCACAAGCCAATCCGAGACCATGTGTCAGCTGCACATGGTACTGTGGGTCTCTCAACATCACTAAACCGGATTGGGAAGCTCTGAAAGAGGTCGGAGTTAAGGAAGCAAGTTCACCATATACTAGCACTATCGACTGATACGAGTATCCGTGGCTCAGCAACGATCTGTGGGGATGTGGAGGCACGGATACGGGAATAACAGATCGGTGGATACAGGTATCATCTACATACTGTCCAATGATACTTCCTGGGCCAGTGCTTTCCTCATCGGGATACCACTTCCACCATCAAAGGAATCCCGACGGAATGTCGAGAGCTCTTCACATCATGGCGAGAGGATGGCTCTGGTTTGCTGGATAAGGACCTGATCGGAAGCTGTCAGGTTTAAACATAAAACCCTTCCCACATGGCATCTCAGCTCGATTGTCGATCTTGATTGTCACTACTCACGGGCTTCAGTCCTTTCCCTTTCATTCAACATCATCTGGTCTGATATCTGTACCAAGTCTCACCAGATCTACCAAGTCCTACCCATTCTTTACCAGGTCTTTTTAGTTGTTTGAACACCAAGTCTTATAAAGTCTCTTTTAATCTTTTTAATCCGAGTCTAGCTATACTCCAATATCTTTGATTCTATTCGATTCAATTACCAGGCAAGTCAAGCAAAATACACACCCCATCTGTACCATTATTGTCCCATCACCCCCGTGAAAATGTCTGCTTCCAAGAACGAGCCCATTGCCATTGTTGGCAGCGCCTGTCGCTTCCCTGGGGATGCCACATCTCCTTCCAAGCTATGGGAGCTGCTCAAGGAGCCCCGTGAGGTCGCCCGGCCTATCGACCGTTTTGCGGCCTCAAGCTTCTACCACCAGGATGGTCACTACCACGGTGCTAGCAACGTCCGCGACGCGTACCTCCTTTCCGAAGACCCCCGCTACTTCGATGCCCAGTTCTTCAACATCCCCCCTGGTGAGGCCGACTCCATCGACCCCCAGCAGCGCACCGTCCTCGAGACTGTGTATGAAGCCGTTGAATCCTCTGGCCTGGTGCTCGAGGACATGCGCGGCTCAGACACGGCTGTCTATGTCGGGGTCATGTGTGACGATTACGGCAACATTT